AGTAAATTTAGTTGGCTAAAATCTAATGGGTTTAGTTACAGTGTAATGCATTTATTAAGCATTTCTTCATTATATAGGTTTGATATTAAGGTTTTATCATGATAGACACCGATTTTAACTGCGGTGACACACAACATGCCTTTATGTTAAAATTAAATAAAACCACTTCTCATAAAGAACATGAACATGGTCTTCTTTTTAATTAAATACAAAAGGTTATATAGGCTAATTATGCATTCTTTATAGCAACTTATTTACCATATTCTTCATTCTTTCAAGCAGATATATTTATTTCTATAAATAAATTTAGATTAATCTTTAGGGCTACTAAAGTTTTTCAGTCAAGAGCAGTGCGTGATTTTCTGTCTTTCTTTTGTTGCTTGATTAACATCAATGACTCGGACAATAGCAACTAAATTAGGCTGCTATCCCTTTAAAACCGAATGCATGGCTACAATGGATGCAATGTACTGAGACACGTTCTCCCTACTGTTTACGTTCACTTAAGACGTAATCAACCGTGTTTATGTGAATACTTGTCAAAAAGAACAATTCAACATAATTTTGTGTGTAATTCTCCGTTCATGCGACGCGAAAGACTATTCGCGCACTGCGAGACGCGCTTTCTGTGTGTGTGCTTCAGTGTCTGCGCTCAGAAAACCGGACCGAAATTAGTTCTCTCTTGCATCGTCAGATTTATCCATATGTCTGCTCTTCTCTTACTCCCACATATTGACATTTTTTAACGTTTTATGCGATGTGCAGCAACTGTATGTTAGCTTATGTCCCGCCAGTTCATATGTACGCATCTAAACTCCGAACCACGCAGCAGATTTTTTTCTGAATGAATCTCTTCCCAAATTGTCCCTCCCTAACAATAGATTGTCAATAGATGTACGTCATAGTTTTTGTCATTCAAAAAGAGTTTTAGTTCGTTATCGTCTCGTTGTCGTTGATGAAAAAATGATTCGGTCTTGAAGTAAGAAGCAAACACTTTTTTTTCCCCAGCACCTTTGAGATTGCACTACTTTGATTCGCACTAATGTTCGGAAACTGTTATGACCTGGTCATCTTTAATGGGAGCACTCTGTTTCCCTGACTGAATGCCTTTGGAGAGAGCTTAAACTAACTTGTGCAAGAGGCAGAAAACACATCGCTATCCCCATGACAACTCATTAATGCCACCTTAAATGCAGTGAAACTAAAAAGACTATTTGAGGAGGGAAAAACAAGTAACACCAACAAAAGCAGAAATGATGGGTTTGTAGGGCCTTTTTTAGTACATCACTTGTGCCAAAAATATTTGCTATATTTGCTGAGAAGCTTTGGGAAGCTCAGGTTTTTTGGTAGTGGTGCTATTGGAAATATCAGAGATGGAGAAAAAGTTATTGGTTGGACTGCTTTTTAGAACAAGCCTCAGGACATCATGGTTTCCCCACTAGTTTATATAACTGCATGCCCTCTTCACCAGTACAGAGCCCTACCATAAGGCTGTTACTTTTTCCTCATGACTGTTGCCCTTTTACACTGATTTTACACCAACTTTGGTATTTCCTGGGTGAAGCTGGTTTGGCTCAGTTGGATGAATTCCCAACTGGCTCGTTATACAAAAGACTGCAGCGTCCACTATCCTGTCGACATTTGAGCCCACACACTTGGTTACGGTAATATGGGCAGACACAGACAAATGCAGATGCATCGTACATGAACTATATAGTACCATCTCAATTGCAAATGCACCCATGGCCTTTCCTTATGTAACTGTGTGCTCTAAACTGATTGTAAGTTTATGTGTCAACATGCTATTTTAAGTAGTACTAGCAGAGAGGTTGAGGAAACGTGTTTGAACTTTGAACCCATGCAGAGGTGACCCCCTACAAAATAAAAATGCAACAGGTCTGTGTATGTATATAGATACACACATATTAACAAATGTTTGGGGTTTGCTCCGGTCTTCGGTGTCCCATCATCCTTCAGAAATCATTCTAATATGCTGATTTGCTGCTCAAGAAACATTTCTCAGTATTATCAATGTTAAAAAAACGTTATGCTGCTTAATATGTTTGTGGAAACCGTGATACATTTAGGCTATTTTAGGATCCTTTGATGACTAGAGTTCCAAAGGACAGCATTCATTTGAAAGAGTAAAGGCATTTACAATGTTACAAAAGATTTCTGTCACTTTTGATTAATAAAACGTATTCATAAAGTAATAATAAAAGTCTTAATTGCTTTCAAAAAATATTTCTGACCACAATATTGAATTTTAAAGAATTTTGTTTCATTTTGGCACTAAATTAGGTCCTGAAGCAGTCCAGTTTGTCCTTCAAAATCTCTATGATATAATTGTCACGTACATTATATATGTATATAGAGAAAAGATATTCATTGTTATATTAAATAAACATGTATTGTTTTTTTTCTTCCACTTGCAAGGTAACGGTTTAGCCTAATAGCTTGTACACTGTTCACAGATGAGCCTTTCAGCTTAGCATCTTATTAACCAATAGCCTTTGATTTGGCCTCCTGCAAAATAATTAACCTTCTATGTTAGCATACCATTAACTTTTTAGCTTGCTAACCTAGCATGTATAGGGCCCTATGAATTCTGTTTTATTTTTTCCCAAATTCCATTTTTTTTTTTTTTCCAAATTCCATTTTTTTTACATTTAAATTTTTGTTTTAATGTTTAAATAAAAAATAACCAAAAAGCCCTATGAAGTTTTTTTTAACCAAATTATGTGTCTTCCATTAATTTTCTGGATTCAATTTTTCATTAAATTTTAATAATCAAAAGCAACTCTAATTAATTGATTTTAAAAATTTGTTTGTTTGTTTTTAGTTTATTTATTTAGTTATTTATTTATTCAGATATTTTTTTCAGAAATACTGTGTTGTGTATTTACATTTTTCTGGTAAATAATTCTCTAGTAAATATTCCTTAAAAAATAACATTTTAATAATGTTATTATTAGTAGTAGTACTATCATTACATTAAGTAATATATTTATATCACAGTTTCTTCAAGTTAAACTAAACTTTTATTTTGACGGGCTGCTGTAAAGACAGGTTTTTCGACTTTTTTTTATTTTATTTTTTTTATTATTAAATGGTAAAATGCTCCTGAAGTGACTCTCAAAGCAGCTCCGGAGATTATGTTTTTGTGTTCATGTACTCATATATTGAGGCTGAAAACACTGCAAGCATCGCAAGTGCGCTTCAGTATGTGTGCAGTAAACGAAACCATTCATTCACACAAAGACACGCAGAACATGCAAGATTCATATTTGAATGGCATTTTTGCGGCTTAATATTCACAGACACTAGTTCATATAACGTTTTGATTTAAGTGTACTGACCTAGCTAGTTTTGATTTATTTATCAAAAATTTGGCATATTCCATAACATTCCGTGTTATACAGTAAATTCCATTTTTATTACTGGATTCTGCGATTCCATCTGAGTTTTTTCACATCGCAAAATAGGGCCCTACAGGTATTTAAATTACTATAAAGTAGTGCTGTCATACTGTTAATTGCAATTAATCGCATCCAAAATACAAGTTTTTGTTTACATAATATATGTGTGTGTGTTGTGTATGTTTATTATGTATATATAAATGCACACACATGCATGCATATATTTAAAGGGGTCATATGATGCGATTTCAAGTTTTCCTTTCTCTTTGGAGTGTTACAAGCTGATTGTGCATAGATAAGATCCCTGAAGTTGCAAAGACTAAAGTCTCAAAACCAAAGAGATATTCTTTATCAAAGTTAAGACTCTAATGTACAGTATTTGAAAAATAATGTGTTTTTTGAACATTAAAGCATGTCAACATAGTCTGTTACACCAAATACACAAAATAATGATCTTTAAAAAAAGCATCATATGACCCCTTTAAGAAAAATGTTGTGTTCATATATTAAATATATTTATATATAATATACATTATATTAATATAAATATATACATGGAAATACATGGAAATATTTTCAAAATATATACTGTATGTGTGTGTATTTATATATGCATAATAAATATACACAGTACACACATATATTATGTAAACAAAAACTCTTGTTTTGGATGCGATTAATCGCATATTCTTTTCTACTGTTTGTTACTTACTTGCAGTTAAAACTACTTCAAAAAGATAAAAGGTAAGGGTGTTTTAAATATGTTGAAGAACATGTTGTGGTGCATGAATTACACACATCATCTTTAAGGTTTAATGGGTTATCATAATTGTAATGACTCTCTTATTGACTGTCTGTCTCTCCAGCAGTGGATGTGAAGACCTTGCTCCCCTCTGGGATGCAGAGTCCGGTGGGAGGTGGAGGAGATCAGGGCGGAGGCAGCGGAGGGCCGGTGGACCTGCGTACGGACCCGCGTCTGAGTGCGCTAAGCACGGTGGACCCGGCGCTGAGGGAAAAACAGCTACAGCACGAGCTGCTCTTGCTCAAACAACAACAAGAGCTTCAGAAACAGCTATTGTTCGCCGAGTTCCAGAAGCAGCATGAGGTTTTGACGCGCCAACATGAAGTGCAGCTACAGGAACATCTGAAGGTATGACCCTTTCTGTCCTCTCTGTACACCTCATCTCCTTGAACTTTGAGTCTTGACTTCTGGACTCTTTCTAAACAGCAACAGCAGGAGATCCTTGCCGCAAAGCGTCAGCAGGAGCTGGAGCAGAAGAGGAAATTGGAACAGCAGCGTCACGAAGAGATGGAGAAGCAGAGACTGGAGCAACAGCTTATCATGCTACGGAACAAAGAGAAGGGCAAAGAGAGTACGTATCGCTCCATTAATCCATCCATTATATGCACTACAATAGATCTACAGTGAACTCGTTTCACGGCACGGTCGCCGCTCATCATTTCCTGTTGCTTATTCTGATGCTGATTTCCAAAATCCGAATAGTTTAAATGCACTGTTCACTAGGGATGCACCGATACCACTTTTTCCAGTACTCGCCCGATACCGATACTTTTATTTTTGGTACTTGCCGATACCGAGTACCGATACCAATATTTAATGGATTACAATAAACCAAAAATTATTCATACAGCTGTCAATATTTACACAACTATCAATACTTTGTCAGGTGACCCTTAGCCTTAATAACAGCCTGTAGTCTCCTAGGCATGCTGTCAACCAGGTTCATGCAAACCTCAACTTCAATTTTTTCCCAGACTCGGTCTGAATAATTTTTGGTCCCAAATTTGTATCAATTTTACTGGTAGTCCACTGTATGAAGAATTTTTGGGTATAATATATCACAGTTTAGTTTATTTTGATATCCTCACTTTACATAAATGAACAATAATGTCCTACACCCACTAGTGAAAAAATATAAAAAATTATATCTGGTCTCTGAATAATTTTTGGTTTGACTGTATATCCTTCTGTTATTTTCACACTTAATTATGCCCATTAAAATGTATTTTACAGGTTTTTGTTACTTTCACTGTTCATTTTGTTCTCTCTCTATGGTGTGATATTTTCAGAAATAGAAGTCGCGTTTTTTCATCTGAAACGTGCTGCGATTTATATTCCAAAGCCACTCGTATAATGCAGAAACACTCATGAAGCAAGCAAAACACGTGCAACGCGCACACGTATTTGTACTGGTGCAGAATGAGAGGGACGAGTACAGTACAGCCTAGCGCATTTCACACAGGCTCTTAGTTTCACTTTTGCCAGAAAGTCGTGTATGCTTAAGGGTGGCTGTCTGTTGTCGGTATTTCTTTGTCTGAATATGGCACTTAACACATGCTGTGTGGTATCGGCGTTTGGTATCGGGACATTTTAACGAGTACGAGTACAGGAGCTCAGTATCGGGCCCGATACCGATACCAGTATCAGTGCATCCCTACTGTTCACCTTTTGGTTCAATGAATAAACACCTTGCTGAGCAGTACATAGCTAATGTTTATTGTTGTTTGCTGCTATATTACACACTGTCATGGATCCCTTAAAGTACTTTAGGCACAGTAGGAACCAATTGCTCTATTATTTCTCATCTTTGGTTGTTTACACTTAAAAATGACACAATGCAGTACTAGGCATTATTGCACCAAAACAATTATATATATATATACCATATTTGGATCATTTTCAAAACCTAGTAAGCTGCCTACTACCTACATAGTATCCTATAGTAACCTCATAAGTGCACATATAAGCAGCTATTATGTGCAGCACTCACATGACTCTTATTAATACCAGTAGAGTTTTATGTTGGCATGTTACTAAGCTAACAAACTGGAAGACATAATGTATAGTAATTTCACTATAATAAAAAAATGTATATAAAATATTTTATATAAAGATATATATTTTTTAGCTATTAATAATTAAAATAACAATCTTTTACTATTTGTTTTTGGTATTGGATCAGTTATACAGTACAGTCCCAAAAAGATTGGGATCGGTAATTTTATTTGTTTTATTTATTTATTTATTGAAAATACTTTGTACTTTTATTTAGCACGGACACAATGAATTGATCAAAAGTGACAGTAAAGACATTTATAATGTAACAAAGTATTTTTTCTTCAAATAAAGGCTGTTCCTTTGAACTTCATGTCATGAAATCATGTCCTATTTATTCATATCACAATTTACACAAAAAGATTAAGCAGCACAGAAAACTGTCTTCAACATTGATAATGATGTCATGAAATGGCTGCAGAAAATGTAGCCTTGATATCAAAGGAATAAAATGCATTTAAAAATTTAATTTCAAATCGAAAACTTGTTTTAAATTGTAATACTATTTCAAAATATTACTGTTTTTACTCTATTTTTTATTACAATTTAGCTTTGATATCAAAGGAATAAATACCATTTTAATCCTTCTTTAATTCTAAGATTTAATTTTATATCTTAATTGTAATAAATATACACACAGATAAAGACACAGATACATATATGTATTTATGATGTCCTTTGACTCTGTTCTCAGGTGCTATCGCCAGTACTGAGGTCAAACTGAAGCTGCAGGAGTTCCTGTTGAGCAAAAAGGAACCCGGCCCCGGTGGACTCAACCATTCCTTCCCCCAGAAGTGCTGGTGAGAAAAAGTCCATATCGCTCAGTCTTCTTCTGGGCTGGTAAACCCAATTCAAAGTGCACCCTTTCAATCATTTTTAAATTTAGTTAATATATCAAAGACAGGTTCAATGTGCACTATTTCCCTGCAGTATGATGTAAAAATGAATTCATTATTAGCATGATCAAACTGATATTACATAATGCCACATTATGCTGAAAGTTTATGGGTCTCATTTGAATTGTGATGATGAGTCTTTGTAATGGACTGTGTTTGTTTTTTTAGGGGGGCTCACCACGCATCCCTGGAGCAGAGCTCCCCTCCACAGAGCAACACCTACAAACTCCCCCCACTGTTAGGGTCCTATGAAGGCAAGGATGACTTCCCTCTCCGTAAGACCGGTGAGTAGGCTTCTTGTTTATATAAAATAAACTGTTGCTTTACTGTGTAAATGTTGCACTACAATTCAGTATGATTTTTTTGTAATGAAATGAATACTTTTACTTCGCATGGATGCATTACATTTATCAAAAGGGATATTAAAGACAATTATAATGTTACACAAAATGTTTATTTCAAACAAATGCTGTTCTTTTGAACTTTCTATTCATCAAGCAATCCTGAAAAAAAATGTATCACAGTTTCGACAAAAATAAGCAGCCACTGTTTTCAGCAGTGAAAATAAGAAATGTTTCCTGAGCATATTAGAGTGATTTCTGGAGGATCATGTGACATTTAAGACTGGAGTAATGATGCTGAAAATTCAGCTTTGCATCACAGGAATAAATTACAATGTCAAATATATTAAAATAGAAAACTGTTATTTTAAATTGCAACTTCTAGTGATCACTTCAGCTGTTGAGGTCAGCTGGGTGGCCTTTTCTTCCAGTCCTCTGGCTGTCTTCTCTTTTTCTGGATCAATTTACCAGTAAACACTATCCTTTTACTGTATTGCAAGCCCTGTATTTCCTCTGGGAAAATGCAAATGTAGTTATTTTTGTTATCTTAATGAATCGTTTTAATGAGTAATAGCTAAGTGACATTGACGCTGCATTATAAACCATCAGTGGATTGAATAAGCCAATGCATGAGTGTTTGCATGTAAATTTTAGATGATTATTTTCTTTCTGTGCATGAATGACGTTGTTCTGGAGTCACCAGCGGTTTTGTGTGGCGAAGTTTGAGCTGTTTAACACTGCAGAGGTGTCACAGAAGATGCAAGGGTGTGTGTGTGTGTAGGGATGAAGTGAGGAGTCTGCAGATGTGAGTCATAATGAGTCATCAGAACAGCAGACCTACACACAAACACACCTCAGAGCACTGTTACTTTAATACCGTTGAGATACTATTATAGTTTTTATTAATAATCAAATCAGTTCTTTGTTTTCATTTTAATCTTAGTTAAAATTGTGGTAATTTTTTGTCATTTTATATATATATTCATTATATATATATATATATATATATATGGTTTATATTTTGGTTCTAGGTAACTATAATAGCACTAGGGCTGGGTTTTGACACAAATTTCACGATTCGATTCGATTCTCATTCACAAGCTTGCGATTCAATTCAATATCGATTATTTTGGATATATATCAGGTACACATGCCAAATTTTCTCAAGGGAAAAAATTCTCTTAACTAATGCTGTAAAATATACATGAGAGTCAGTTGGGTACTACATTACTATAATATTGAAGGTTAAAACTAACAGAATTTTAGGCTATACAGCTGCTTAAATTGCACTTAATTAAGTTTTTATAATAAAAGTTACAATTACATAATATTTCTATTTCAATTAGTTTTTTTAACATTTAAATGGTGACTGTGCATATATTTAGCAAAATTTGTTTACAAGCCGTTATATTGAAGTCTTTGCGCGGCTGAAACACTTAATGAGCGATTACATGAAACATGAAAGTTGTACTCTTTCTTTTAACTTACCTTCGGATGTTTAGTCATGTTTACGTGCGCCTCGCGCTGCTGCGTCTGTTGATCGAGGCACTACAGCGATCTGTCACTCCACATTAAACAGCACCAAAACGGCATTTATTGTTTGAATACTGCAATACAACAGACAAAATTTTAAATCGGAGACTTTGTTTCATATGAAAAGTACCAACGCACAATGCTTATTGTGATTTATTGGATGGGAGGTGCCCTTCAATGTTCTGTCCATTAACTGAAAACAGGCTAGATTAATCGATTCTTGGTATTTAAGAATCAATATCGTTTAGTAAAAATGAGAATCGATTAAAATCGACATACCAATATTTTTTACCCAGACCTAAACAGCACTGCATATTAATAGCTATATTAGTGAGAAAATCGTTTTCATACAAAAATAATGATATTTATTATTGCCTACCTTGCAATTTAACCCTCACACAACCTGCTGCCATTATTAGATTTGAAGCGAAACCCAGTTTAGCCTGTTTATGAGAGATTCAAATACCGATAGCCACCTCAAACGTTGTCTCAAATCATTTCTGACATGTTTTCGACTATATTTGTGAGGGTTTTTTCAAAGTACTGCTGGTCATCTGCTGTTCACTCTTATAGCCGCCAGCCATACTCCAAAACTCCCACACAGATTCAGTGAGTTTGTTCCCACAAGCACACAAACACACACACACACATCTGCTATCTGCTTTTTACACACTGCTATCTTTTAAACTGTCACACCCACGCTGCTTTATAAAGCTCTCTATTATAGAGCTAACACACATATACCATCCGGAGGATAGGAAGACTCACACACACACACACACACACACACACACACACGTGCCCTCTAGCTTGGACTTCAGCACACTGATAAAGTAATCGCAAACGGGTCTGTTACCGTGGGTGAAGCGCTTACTCTATATTGCCACTGTTATGGCAACACCACAGCAATCTTCTTACATAACGTGCCCTCAGTTAGTGTGTGTCTTTCCATCCCATCCCCTCCCCCTCGTCTCACACTTTTATTTTAAAGCTAATTAAATCCATACTAAAGTCACTGATAGCATTAGAGGCTAAAGTCCTTTCTGCTCTATATGCCCAGTGTGGCTGTGACGCACAAACGGGCCCAGAAAAACACATAGGGCTTGGTCAAGCCACTTTACACACGGCCTGTTTGGATAATTGCACCAATTTCTTTATTTTTTTCCTCTTTCAAATCCCTTTTTACTCCAATTAGTTTAATTTGGCCCGGCGTCTCCGGAATCAACAAGAGATAAAATCGGCACGCTGTAAATATAACTTTTATCTATAGCTCATTTTGTGTGTGTGAGTGTATGAGAGAAAGAGAAATGGGAAGGGACGGGCGGTTGCTGTCCATGGTCCTGATGCACAAGAGCGACAGATGCAAACCCTCATTAGTGGTGCTTATTAAGTGAAACGTCACTATTGTAATTGCTCAGGTGGAGGGTTTTGAACAAGCCCCTGAGCATATATAGTGAACTTTGCTTTGCAACTCACACCCCGTAAGTGATATCTCAAATCATGCTGGGTTTGCTGTTACTTTTCTAAGTAATTTAATCTTTTTCTTTCTCTCTTCTGTTCAGCGTCTGAGCCCAATCTGAAGGTACGTTCACGGTTAAAACAGAAGGTGGCTGAGAGGAGGAGCAGCCCACTTCTTAGACGGAAAGATGGTACTGTGATCAGCACCTTCAAGAAAAGGGCGATTGAGATCTCAGGTAAACCATGTGTGCGAACAGGTTTGAACCAAGAACTACTCTTTCTGGCTCAAACTTTTTTATGCTAAGGACTTTCCAAATACGATGATCTTTCTTTGACAGATCCCCTGTTTTAAAGTATAAAGGCATCTATATATATTTTAATAAAAAAATATATATTTGGAAAAAGTATTTACAATTATTTACATTATATTTATAAAAAGTGTGCATCGGATACAAGTTGGCATTTGTATCGTGATGCATAATTTCTAACATATTTCCATCAGTAAAAATTTATTTTTATATAATTATTAGTAAATGCACTATACTTTTATTATTTAGAAAGAGACCAATAATTTGTGACTAATATTTTATATGTAGATTGATTTCTCCTCTCTAAAATGTTTCTCAAGCGCGTTCTCTCTTCTCGTATCGCATTGGCCATAGTTATAGAGATGCTAATATATATATATGTGTGTGTGTGTGTGTGTGTGTGTGTGTGTGTGTTCATATTTTGTGATAGGGGCCCATAAGTATCTTTAAAATGTTATATGGAAAATATTTGCTTTCTACTATGACACTATAACAATGCACAGTTATAATAATGCACATATTTCTGCACAATTCTGTAAATTTGGCATTGTGTAAATTTGAACTTTTTTACCTTTTTTTCATTCTTTTTATTCATGTATTTTTTGCACTATTTAGTTAGACTCAAAATTTAAATAATAATATAAATTCGATAAAATAAACATTATTTGTGCATTAAGCTTCACAAAACATAGTTTATATGGAAGATGTAATCCTTCGTATATCAGCACCTGAGTTGTGTTCAAATAAGCCTGTTAAAAAAACTGCTGTCAGTTGTGTGAAGATTTGCAAACAGAACTAATGAACACATAGGTATTGTGTGATTCCTGTGCTGTTAATATAACTGCTACTTGGAGGAAGGGAACCGTTTAACATCCTGCTGATACATTAAAAATGGTTTAATCAATCACAAAATATTGTGAAATCATCAGCTATTTTTTCTAACGCTGCAGCTAAAATGTGATTGTTGAAATCCGTGTGTGTGTGTGTGTGTTTCAGTGTCCTCTATGTGCAGCAGTGCTCCTGGCTCGGGTCCCAGTTCTCCGAACAGCTCTAACTGTGCCATTGCCGAGAATGGCTCCAGCGGATCCGTCCCAAACATCCACGCTGAGGTGAGAGACTTACCCCCTACACGTTTGCCACTCTTCTCCTCTCGCACTCCCCTCGCTTCTCAATAGGTTAGGGATGAAAAAAACCTAGATAATGACACTGTTTCTATGGAAACAATCTATCGTACGGAGCCTTGTGATGGCTTGGGATAACACTGGTATGCTAATCCCGAAAAAAAAAACATGTTCCGAGAGTCAGCCTTGCAGTGAGTTGTATCTGTAGGCTCAAGAATGGCCGCAGCTGCTCTGGATGGACAGCAGGAATCTGCCTGGGGTCAACCCAGCATGCTAAGCAGCTAGCCTCGAGGATCACCTTAACCTTGAGAGCCAGAGAGAATGAAATTGTATGTGCTCATGCCACAAAGGGCTTGAAGCTGTATGCACGCTGAATTTGAATGAGCCAGTTTGTGTTTAATTTTGGATGACCAGCGTATTAAATGCAAAACAAAACATGGCAGCACTTCAGTTTAGGGACAAATTCTTACTATTATCTAGTTGTAACTGGCTTATTAGCATGCCTATTATGAACACATTGGCTGTTTATTAGTACTTATAAAGCACAGCATAATCAGAGCAGACACACATTTGATGCAAACCAAAACAATGCTGTGAGAGACTGAGGACAACAATACACGATGTTTGCAAACTTTAGTATAGGGACCAATTCTCACTATTAACTAGTTGCTTATTAGCATGCCTTTTAATAACATAGTGGCAGTTTATTAGTATTTATAAAGCAAATATTCTGCATGACCATATTCTAAATCCCTAATACTTAACAACTACCTTACTAACTATTAATAAGAAGCAAATTAGTAGTTTATTGAGGCAAAAGTCATAGTTAATGGTTTGTTAATAGAGAGAGTTGGACCTTAAAAACAAATAGGATATAAACAAACAAATAATGCAATTTACAGTATTTACATGACTTTGTAATAACAGTGAGTGTGCACTTTACCTTCAGCTAACGTAGCACGGACGTGCCGGACGATGGATGAAGTGTGCTGGACTTTGTCAACGAGAAAAGAAATAAAGTTAATCAGTCTCATCAACCAGAGAAAAAAAATCCCTTCAAATGGGCGCCAGTGGAGATGACTTAAGAATCACCTCATTAGCTCTGTCCAGCATGCAAAGGCTGCATACCACTCCCCAAAAATAGATTGATAGTCTTAGATTGCTATTCGTGAGCCTCTGTAGCCTAGCAGTACAACCTCGAGAGAAGCGATGGATAAATGTGAAGGAGAATAGAATGCTGACATCATCTCTGCTGCAGGTAGAGTGCTCTGCCACGGAATGTCCGCTTTGTCTTTTTCTTCTTCATCTTTCTTAGTGTGACCTTTGAGTCAGAGTGAGAATGACGTACATTGTACAAACAACTTATAATGAAAGGCTTAAATTGGGTCGTTGGGGATGAATAAACGTTGCCTTGTAAAGCAGATCCATTAGTTTTTGTTCTTTGGCTTTGAAAATGGCTGCGCTCCAAGTATAGGGTCAGATGATGGGATTACCAGTACTCACAAACACCTCCGTATTTCTCACATAACTTTCTTTTGGGACATTTTTTCAGTCTTTAGAAATGAGAAAAAACAGGCATTTTAATTATCCTTATAACTCCTTAGCTCATTTCTTTAACGTGGCAACTGGAACTGTTGTCTTCTTCAAGTGGCGCTCATCCAGTCCCAAATACAGACAATCCATTCCCACATGCTGCTTTGCTCGTCACAACTTAGTAAGGATTTCCAAAGAAGAATGCTTTCAAGTGATCAAGTCAAGCAGAAACTCCTTGTCTGGGATGCCTTCCTGAGATAAAACGGATTCTTTGTGCTGTTTGAAGTGTACATCTTGAAATATAGGTCTGCTGTTTGTCCTGTGTGACTCTCGTCTTTCTCTCCCTTTCTGTTTCGGCAGCAGTTGCGTTCTCTGCATCAGTCTTTGACTGGAGATGGGACACCGAGTCCCCTTAGCCTCTACACCTCTCCATCTCTGCCCAACATCTCTCTTGGACTGCCTGCCAACGCGCACATCACGGTGAGTGTCCTCAGCTAAAGCCTGGTGGCTTCGTGATGGTGATTCAGAGTTAGCAGGTGGTGTAGGCTGAACCCTAGTGGGCTTGCTAGATCATTAGGATGCTTTTACCCTAGAGCTTTTGGTCTGGACTCAAGAGTTTGATTGATGTGAAAGTGTTTTTCAGAAGATGCACACCATTGATCCAAACCCTAGTCCATTCTCGGGTACGGCTCATGTGAACTACACTACAGTTGGTTTGAATGCAATTTGTCCTAAATTGCAGAAGTGAACCACTTTTGATGATGCCTAATTTGCATCTTTGCACACTCTTGGTCACAATTATAGTATAAAGCATGGGAGTACATTCCTTCTCTGAAAAGGCCACTGTCCTGCAGAGTTTACCTTCAAGTGATGTTTTATTAACACATTTCGGGAGGAGCACGTGCAGATAATTAACACGGCCAATCCATCATTACACCATCTATCCAACCAGCACAAGAGATAACCCCTTTAAATAATCAAAGTAGTCTTACCTTCATTATCTTTAGTCTTTCAGCATCCCTCCACCACCCCGACTCCTCACCTTCAGCCTGTTCCTACCCCAGCGCTCTGGGTCCGGGCTAAAAGAGCTCGGACCCCTCTCCCCGGACAGGGGGAGTACCCCGGGCTCGAGAGTAATTACCGAGCTCGGAGCCCTCTCCCCGGACAGCACGCCAAATATGCATAACCTTTACTCAGTTTATTATATGTAAGTGTGAACTCGTGAATCCTAATTAATCACACCTGAACCAGCTAATCAAGGTCTTCAGGGTTTCTTGAAATTTCCAGGCAGGTGTGTTGGGGCATGTTGAAGCTACACTCTGCAGGACATTGGCCCTCCAGGAACTGGATTGGACACCTCTGGTATAAAACAAGCTCTCACAGTGGTAACCCAAAAGGACAAAAAAAGTACAATGTGAATGCAGAGCAGCAGGGCATTAGATGGGGATGGAATCAAACTGGTTCTGGTTTGGACCAAGCAATCAAACCCAGTGTGAAAACAGCCTTGTAGGCTTTGGTACCTTGGTTGCAGCTTTAAGCAGCTTAGTGTTCCCAAGTCTGCAGAATAAATTCTCATTCTCTTCTCCTCTACTCTAGGCTCCTCAGAAACTCAGTGCCCAGCAGGAGGCAGAGCGGCAGACAATCCAGAGTTTGCTTCAAGGTGGGGCACTGACAGGGAAGTTCATCAGCACATCGTCCCTGCCGACGTGCCTTCCCACCGGGGCACCCCATGACCCCGAGCCCCCTTCCGCTTCTAATAGTCACAGTAGCCATTCCTCGCTGCTCCAGCACGTCCTACTGCTGGAGCAGGCTCGTCAACAGAGCGCACTTCTCGCAGGTACACATAAATTCATACTATACAATCAGGTTACCCTGAATGCACTGCAAAAAGCTATAAATGTAAATGTACATGCATCAGTGCCTTAAGGCAAGAAACATACTTTACACAAGTATGCAGATTAGGGGTGGAAGATATACTGGTAGACACGATTAACCGGTAGAAATATGTCAACCAGTCAAGATTTTCAACTATCTTCTCTATCGCATTTACACGTTCATGTGACATTGCTGTGCTACGTGGTCGCAGAAACGTATCGTTTACATGCGATTTTAAGCATTGCTGTTTAAAATCAAGTGACTTTAAGCAGTTGAAATGCAATCAGCAGCAAAAGAGAACTCATTTTGCTATATGCATGCACTGTCTGAGAGACTGTTTCTGAGCGCTATGATGCTATCAGAGAGGCGCATACGTGAAGACGGTGCTCACAGAGCGCCGGAGTGTTAAATGGAGTTGTTTTTGGCTCTTTATAGGCCTTGAACGGTTAAATACACTTTTATGAGTTAAAATGCCCGTGTATCCATGTAAACACAGTAATTCAGGTTTTAAGTGAAAGCAAACAGCTGAGAAAGAAAACACATGTGTAACAGTATATTATATCCAGGCAGATCTTAAAGTGACATTAGTCTAATAATGTGTCATTCATTAAACAACAAAAGAGAGAAAATCTCTCCCTGCTCTAGTCTAAATCACTTTTGTAACTTTAATAAGAAATATATATTTAATTTATACAGTGAAGAATATGCAGTGTTTTTATACATTTGATTACTTTACACGATGTGTGTAGCATGTCTTATTTATTTGTTATACTGTAGCTTTTTTCCTATTGCTTGTAATTAGTTTCTTAATCTTATTTAATTGCTGGCTGTTTCCTTGTGTTCAGTGAGTTTGAGTTTTGTTTTTTGTTTTTTTGTTTTATTTAGGCAGCTTTTTTTGTGATATTGACATGGGTGCAGTGTTAATTTTGTTGACAAATAATTTTCGTCATAATTGTCATCAACTACATTTTTTTCACCGACGACAACGAGACGATAACAAACTAAAACTCTTTTTGAATGACAAAAACTATGACGTACATCTATTGACAACCTATTGTTAGGGAGGGACGATTTGGGAAGAGAATCATTCAGAACGAATCTGCTGCATGGTTCAGAGTTTAGATGCGTACATATGAACCGGCGGGATATAAGCTAACATACATTTTTTTTCACCGACGACGACAAGACGATAACAAACTAAAACTCTTTTTGAATGACAAAAACTATGACGTACATCTATTGACAACCTATTGTTAGGGAGGGAAGATTTGGGAAGAGAATCATTCAGAACGAATCTGCTACATGGTTCGGAGTTTAGATGCGTACATATGAACCGGCGGGACATAAGCTAACATACACTTGCTGCACGTCGCATAAAACGTTAAAAAATGTCAATATGTGGGAGTAAGAGAAGAGCACACATATGGATAAATCTGACGACGCAAGAGAGAACTCAATTCGCTCTGGTTTTCTGAGCGCAGACACTGAAGCACACACAGAGAGAGCGCGTCTCGCCAAAAGGGTCTGGCTGCAGCTGGCGCTTGCACTCTCAGACGTGCATTCTCAGGCTTGCACTCTCAGACACTTGCACTTCCGCTAGCGACGTCACTTGCAGTCTTTTTTATTTTTTATTTTGTTCTATTTATTGATTTCGCGTCGCATGAACGGAGAATTACACACAAAATGATGTTGAATTGTGCGTTTTTACGAGTATTCACGTAAACACAGTTGATTACGTCTTAAGTGAACGTAAACAGTAGGGAGAACGTGTCTGAGTACATTGCATCCATTGCAGCTGTGCGTTCGGTTTTAAAGGGATAGCAGCCTAATTTAGTTGCTATTGTCCGAGTAAAATATGACTAAAACTAAATGGCATTTTAGTCAAAAGACTATGACTAAAATTAAATCAAAATTTGCTGTCAAAATTAACACTGCATGGGTGACAAGAATTATGAAATTTCTATGGTATAAAAAAAAATGATCATAAAGACCTTATTCAAAGCAATAATAACTACATTGTGATATATATCATTATCGTGAAATAAAATTACTCAAATCGTGATATAAGATTTTGGTCATATCACCCACCCCTATTGCAGATACAAATGTACTCTTTTTTTTTTTTTGCCCTGACCGTAATATTTCTTCGTACTCGTGGCTTGATTTAAGCCAGATGCATTATTCAGGTTACTAACTAGTTAGCTATACACATTTTAACAGTTTAACTGATTTTTTATTTGGTCTGCAAGATTCTCTTCAAACTGTTGCTCCACTGTGAGTTGAAAACTGAGACAATTTATGCTAATGTCCACCGTGGGAAAAAACAACGTGCAACAACAGCTTACACTTTTCATCTTGATCTTTATCCCGCAGTTCCCATGTATGGGCAATCTCCGCTGGTAACGGGTGAGCGGGTGTCCAACAGCATGCGTACAGTGAATAAGTTGCCTAGGCACCGGCCACTGAGCCGTACCCAATCAGCGCCCCTGCCGCAAACACCACAGGCCCTGCAGCACCTCGTAATGCAACAGCAGCACCAGCACTTCCTCGAGAAACAGAAACACTACCAGCTAAATAAGGTATATGGATCAGATATTTGATGCTGTTCAAGCTATTATGCAAAAAATGCTAATAAGCTCCACCTCCTTTCAGATCCTCTCCAAAGGGGCGGAGCTTCCAAGGCAGCCTCCCACGCACCCCGAGGAGACGGAGGAGGAGCTTACAGAAACCGCAGAGATGCAGGACGAGCGAGGGGAGGGCCTTGATCACGTAAGGGAGGGGTTACAGAAAGAGAGCTCTGGCGAGACCACACCCCCTTCGGAACGTCTGGTTCCGTTGAAGGGAGAAAGCACAGAAAGTGACTTGGAGGAAGATGATGATGAAGACGAAGCCATTGAACTGAGGGAATGTGATGAAGAGGGCGCCCCCTATGGCCAGGTGAGAAATTACAGCTTTTTTTTATACTGAAAGTTTTGGTAATTTCTGTGCTATTGGTGTCACCAAACGGAATTGACCCTTTGCAAAAACCCGCCCACCTTAGTTACTGTTGCTATGTCCGTGCCACTCTCACACCACGCATCATGTTCTCACGCAGTAAAAAATACATTGCGGAGCAAAGAGGAAACTGACAACATGACAGCAGACAAGACAGAGCAGGTTACTTCTGGTATGAAACAAGGTCTTGTTTTTAAAGTTTTGTCATTTTTTAAGAAATTCCAACAATAAATACCGTTTTGTGGCTCTTTAATGTGTCGTGACAGATTGCTGTATTGCCTCAGTTCAAGCGCCAATCGTGAACCAATCGTCTTTTCATATTTACTTAAAACACGAAATAAACATGAATGAACATCAGAACGTATTTTATTACAACCGTGGATAGACATCAATGCACAATATTTTTCAAGTTTAAGTCCACCAAAGTTAATCTACTCTCCTGACTGATTTGTTTGTTGGGCAAGATGGCGGATTCGGCGTTATGATTGGTCAGATCGCCTGTCAATCAAACTCTTTGCAAATGGTCAATTGCAACAAATAATAATGGCTGTTTTTAACAAGGTTTCCTGAACTTGCCTCCGCCTGCCATTTGTCTAACAAACTGCTAGTCCCACGCCAAGGTTGCGCCATTGCTATTTTAAATATAAAAAATTACACACTTCACCTCTAAAGTATATTACAGAGCTGCCAACATGTATTTTGCATAGTTTTAGTTTCTTGAACTTCTAAGGATCACTGACCTTCTAAAATTGCAGTTATCTTTGTGTACTACTTGTTTACCATGTTAAGACAGCTTTCTATATTTACCCTTCTCCTTTATTATCTTTTCCCATCCCCGTTCTATTTTGCATAACATGCAAAGCTATCAACACATTCAGAAACATTCTTCAGCTTTAGTGTTGAGCGAATTTATGAAAAAGCAGCGTAGTCACTGCATGAGTCACCATGCAAAACCTATGCACGTAATGCAGCTTAACGTCATTTGTTATGAAACAAGATGGATTGTATTTTGTATTTATTGAAACTAGAAGCAGCTGTGTGGATTTTGTGTTGTCGTTAGACTTTTAAGATGCATCTAATGTCTTTCCGATGACTCTGTCACTGCACTTTTCGAGAGCTTAAGTGCGTAGGCAAGTTCCTGATGAGTGTTGGGACGCACATGCGGGGGCTTGGTGACTGGAGATCGAGGGTATCCCTCTCAACCAGAGCATTTGCAGCTTTTTCGCCCCCTGAAAAGGAGGGATTAAAGAGGAAGATTGCTCTCTTCTCTTCTTCCCACCAGTGACTCACTACTGGAGGCAGGAGGGGAGCGGGCGAGAAGAGAGAAAAGAGACACATAAATAATTGCTAGATAGGATGACGCAATGAAATTGACTTGGGAACGATGGTGGGGGTTCCTCCGGGAGCTAAAGTTTGTCTAGTTAGTGCTGCTTGCTTAGGTGTTTAGCCTTGAGGTATTACTATTGCTCATACGTAGTTGGGGTTTTTAACAAACTCTTATCTCAAATTATTAAACTTTAATATGAATCTCTAGCATATAGGAAGCAGGGGTAAGCTTTTGTGACTTGAGCCAGTAAGCAACCTCCTAGCAAAGCTCTAAAAACACTTCTTAGCTTCATGGTGCCAATAGTGGCAAGCACCACTCACATTTTGTTCAGGAAGTGTAAACTCAGTATTTGTCAAAGAGCTGCAATTAAGCAGATTTATTCTTATCTGGCAAAAAAGTACCATGGTTTTACCATCCGATACAAGCACTGTACTATAGTTCTTTTTAAAACGTTATGGAGTAGGTTTATTCTTATCTTGTAAAAAAGTTCTATTGTATTACCATGGATTTTGGATTTGGCACAATGGTTATTCTGTTTTTTTTTTCTTTTCTTTCTTTTTTTTTTTTGAGAGAGTTTTTACATAACTCTCATAGTAATACCATGGCATTCTTCAAAGTACTGTTTAAATACCATAGTATCAGTTTAACATGGTAATGATATATTTTTAATATATTATTTATATTTTAATATGATTTATATGCTATTATGGTTTTTATTAATATTTTGAATTCATTTTTATATTACATTTATCTTTTCAGTCTTCATTTTAAGTTTTGTTTAATTATTAGTAATGTTGTAATGTGCTTATGTCATTTTTATTCTTTTTTCATTTTTTATTTTTAGTTCAGTTTTAATTTTCAACTATTTGCCGTTTTTCATCTAATATTTATATTTTATTTTGTTTCACGTTTATTTCAATCAACAAAATGTTTTCATTTGTTTAAGTTAATAATAATAACTCTGCATCTTATTAAAAGTACCATGATATTACCATGTTTTTTTTTTACCATTATAGCGATGCCTTAGTATTTTACAAAGTACTTTTGTCTTTATTTTCACTGTACTGCAAATACTCACTATATATAAGGATTTTTTGTGCCTAGTGTGCGTGTAATTTTGTGATACGTAATTAATCTATTAAGAAATGTGCATTATTTTGATCTCTCAATTCTTATTCGTCAAGACTGGAGTAATGATGCTGAAATTCAGCTTTGCATCACAGGAATAAATAATATTTTAACATATATTAAAATAGGAGATATTTCTTTAAAGTTGTAATAATACTTCACAATATTGCTGTTTAAATAAATGCAGCCTTGCTGAGCATAAGAGACTTATTTAAAAACCTTAAAAAACCTCACTGATCCCAAACTTTTAAATGGTAGTGTACACAATTGTTTAATATTTTTGAGCAGCATGTTTTATAATATAATTTAACCAATCATTTAGTGGTAAAATTTCACAGCTACACAATTTAGAGTTCAGTGAGCAAAAACATGAAAATATCATTAGATTTTAAACATAATTTATAGTGATTCTGAACCAAAGTGATTTAAAAAAAAAAAATCTTTAATCACATATAAAATATCATAGAAGAGTCATGTAAATTCATTTGTCAAAACAAATAATAGTCGACGCCATTGGCCTCATGGGCAGCGCGCTGACATACAGTGCCATTGCGCTTCGGGTGTCACGAGTTCGAGTCCCGGCTCGCGGACCTTTCCCGATCCCATCCCCCTCTCTCTCACCCACTTCACTTCCTGTCAACCTATACTGTCCTATCTAAATAAAGGCATAAAATGCCATAAATAAACCTTTAAAAAAAAATTATAATAAAAATAATAGACGTTACCTCAATGTGCTTCTGTGTTTGTTTGTGTGCAGAGGATCAGGGGAAGGAAGGCCACACTAGATGAAATCCAAACTGTGCATTCTGAGTACCACACGCTGCTCTACGGCACCAGTCCACTGAACCGACAGAAGCTGGACAGCAAGAAACTTTTAGGTGTGTTTTAAAAGCTCTCTGTTGTGATGTAAGTAGTTGCTGCAGTCTTGATTTTAGGATTCTCCTCCTAGTACACATCCACAAAAAGCTTCCCTTGCTTGCTTCCAATCTGATGGCTTGCTTAAGCAAATCTCCTTTGACAGACGCCTAGGCTTTTTTTAGGTTCTAGACATTTGCCCACCCCCGCTTCTGAGTTACCAGCGAAGTTTGTGTGTGCGATTGTGCGTTTGTGTGTGTGTGTGTGTGTGTGTGTGTGTGTGTGAGGGTGAGAAGGTTCAGCTGCGGACAGAGTTGCCATCACTCCACCACCTCCACTTTTATGTGAGACACTCTTTGAAGAAGTGCAGGCTGTTTTGACCTTGAGTGCTCTTTGTAGAACAGCGAGACAGATGATGGTTGCGTCAGCGTCATCCAGTGAGCATCCTCGAGACTGAATTAGCATAGCCAATTATGCCATTAACTGAATAGATAATGTGTGAACAACAGATGTGGGCCTAAACATAACACTCCTTCAGATCAGCTTCTGATTTGCCTTTTTTTTTTCTTTTCTAGGTCCAATAAGTCAGAAAATGTACGCTGTCCTACCATGTGGAGGCATTGGGGTAAGTTTTGTCTGTTCATCTGTTTAGTCATCACACTTCTTTAATAAAGAATGAAATGGCATTCACAATGTATGTAACTGTAAATAATAGGAGGTATTTACCAACAAAACAGAATATTCTGGCAAATAATGTAGGCAGGAATTTGTCAGTTAGGATTTGTTTGAGTTGTGAAAGGTAGGCCATTATTAGTTAATGTTTTTTTTTCCCTTGACTGTGCAACCTTACTTACATTTGGTACTTGGTTATTATTAGTAGTAGTTGTAGTATCTAGATGTTTTATCTTTTTGAATAATGTAACATTATTTTTATTATTACATTAGATTATAGATTATTATAAATATTTAGATTATAATAAAACATCAAAATTATTATTATCATTAAATGTTTCATCTTAATTTAAATAAATTAGCATTATTATTGTTAGATTAGATTGGAATATACATTATAAAAAAAAAAAAAACCTTTAAATAAAACGTTTAAATAATAAAAATAATTATTATGTTTTATAATATATTAATTATATATAAATTATTATTATTATTATTACTCTGGGTTTTGCACTGATGAATTGTCCTGCAATAAAACCGTGGACATTTATATCTAGGATGTAAATAGGCTCAGTTCTGAGTTCACCCATTTGTGGCAGTATTTAACATGATTTAATGGCCTTTAGGTGGACAGTGACACAGTGTGGAACGAGATGCACTCGTCAGGAGCTGTCCGGATGGCGGTGGGCTGCGTCATTGAGCTGGCATTCAAAGTTGCTGCTGGAGAACTGAAGGTTCATATTTATTTCTCTTACCACAGCTTCATGTTTAATTGATGTTCTGGCATAAATATTCAGTGCTTATATTATATCACATCTCTTATGTCGTCCTCATCTCCCTTCTCTTCTGGTTTTGTTTGATGGGATAGAACGGGTTTGCAGTGGTCCGTCCTCCTGGTCATCACGCGGAGGAATCAACCGCCATGTAAGTAGTCTGTGAGAGTCTGTGTCAAATATTTTATTTAAAAAATATATTTTCAATGCATAATGGAAAGTTGTTTACTTCATCGTAGTTTACGCTCAGGGCCGCATTAAGACCTTACTGGGCCCCGGGGCTATGACTTACTTCAGGGCCCCCATTACAAATATAATATACAAAATTTTATGAATACATTTATTCATTAAAAAAAAATGTATGCATTGAAATTTTAAAAT